TGTCCCTCCTCAAAATGCTCAAATATCGACTCATGTTTGCCTGCTCAGACATCACGTGCTCAGGGCAAAACAATGCCCTCTCATGGAACATTCGGGTGATCACAGTCACTAAAACCGTCCCTGCTTGAGGGACAAAAACTCCTATGCTAACCATTCCCTCTCCGCCGGGGGAACGTACTCGTCTCTGAACATGGTGGTGAACCTTTCCCAGGTCACCTCCGAAATCCTTGCAAGGGTGAAGTTCATCGTCACAAACTTCCACCAGTCCTTCGCTCCCGAGCGAAGCTGGTTCAGTGCAAACCGAACCCTCAAATGCTCCGGACACGAACAAGTGTAGAAGCATCCCTCGATATCAGAAATCCATCTCATCATAGCAATTAGATTATGCGTCTCATCAAACTTAAGTGGCTTCGTGTTGCTGAACTCCCGGAACAGCATCGAGTCACCCCGTGAGGTCTAGCAGCACCCACAGCTGCAGTAGCTACAACAGCCGCAGCCTCAGTAACCACTGCGTATCTCTCGTCAAACGTCTCAATCAAAGTGGTCTTGATAGACCCAAACATATCCAGTATCTCTGCGCGGATATCCGCAGCCACCTCCTCGTGGATCATCTGACGAATCTCCTCGTCACTCACGCCGTTGGTCTGTGGTGTATGGCGTGTCGCAACCATGATGTCTCTGAAATACAACATAAAAATATTAGAGATTTTCTTGAGTGTACTCACACTCGACAACTCAACCCTACTTGTTCCTTAGTACCCTAAGGATTCTTACTTGGACTGTGCACTAATCCGGTGCTTCCAGTAGTACGGTCCCTATACTACCTTCCACACCGTATCAACATTCATTCCAAACCTCCTCCCAGGATCCTAGATCACAAGTACTCTACTTCTCGCTCAACACCGGCTACCCTTTGGTAGGCCCCTCATAAGCTCCTCACTGCTACCTATTCACTTTCAAGCATCTCATAGCAGCAATAATCTCCTAGGCTAAGGCATCACAAATCAGGCCGCTCTAGTCCTAATACGAATACCTAGCCTACTCTAGCATACATAGCATATCATATCATATCTCATAACACATAACGTAAGGGTATTTTGGGAAAATCACAATTCGGGGCGCAGACTGATCGTACACACTGCTTCTTTCCACTTTCTCAAATTCTTTTACTTTAAAAAAAAATTGTTTCTTTTATGAAAAACCTTCTCAAATCCTCAGTTTGAGTTCAGATGTGCCCAAAGGTGCATCGGAATCCCTAAAACCAAGGCTCTGATACCAACTTGTAACAACGTAAATATTCAAAACAATTTTTCATTTTTCAAATAACATAAAACTCATTCAATATTCTCAAATCTCATGTTTAACAAATGTCATCATGATAAAAACGTATCCCAAGATCATAAAATAAATCTTTTGCCAGTGTGTACGGATCATGTCGGCGCCTTCCCGCGATCATCACTAGTACCTGAAACACATAACACATAACACTGTAAGCATAAATGCTTAATGAGTTCCCCAAAATACCACATACAACATATACGCCACTCAAGGCCATAACTCTATGGGATCTTCCGATCCATGTGTCTCAGGGGACTTCCGTCCCCACTCTGGTAGACCTTCTGGCCCTACCCGTATGACCTTCTGGTCCTCATCATCTTGACCTTCCAATCCATACACTGTTGACCTTCTGGTCCATATCATGGTACTCATAACATAGCATAACATAATACAGGCAAACATCAATCATACAACTCACAAACACTTACTAATCCTCTCATGGTACATTGTCCTGCTACCAGCTAACCTCCATGAAATACATAACCATAAGTAACCAGAGGTGAGATAGCCACCCGAACAGATGGTCCTTATCTAGAGCTACAACCAAACACGGAACAGGCAAGAAAGCCTAGATCAAGAGTTCTTAGGCTGTCCTACATACTACATATAGTCCCAAGGGCACTCCACTAGATGATAACCCACAAGTACTAGTAGACATACAAATCTACAGATCACTACTAAATAGTAACATCATATATACTAGGATACAGATCTAACAGATCACTACAATATAACTACATACTAAATACCAACAATCCAAAGAATATATAACCGTATATACCCAGAGGTGAGATAGACACCTAGACAAGTAATCCTACTTTAGACCCACAACCAAACAAGGAACATGTAAGAAAGCCTAGATCAAGAGTCCTCAGTCTATCCTACATGACTATATGTAGTCCTTATGACATCCTTCTACTAAAAGATAACGAACGGTGTCTTCGACCCACGGGTACAATGAGGCAAAACTCACATGAAATAAAGAAACCCGAAAAACTAAGACGTGTTTCCCTTTCTGCACTGTGTGCACCCCTGAATCCGCTAATCACCAAAACCAAGTAAAATCTTAATTAACAGTCCAAAACCCTCAAGTTTGACCTAAAGTCATTCAACGGTCAACGAAAGTCAACAAAGTCAAAGTCCATGGCAGTTGCGTACGCCCAACATGCTCCTCGTACGCCCAACATACGCGGCCTGATCTTATTTCTCCATTAAGTACTTTATCACTTAAGACCTTTTGTCGAAAGCTCATATCTAGACTCAAAACATCGACTGAAGTCATAAAGTTTCCACCTTTATGACTTTCCATGACTAGAAAAGATCCAAAAGCCAAAACCCTAACTTATTAATCTATTAAGCCATCATAAGTCTTGCATGGAAAGGATAAAAGGACAAAGATCACATTTTCATTTTCCTAATAGCTTCATAATTGATAAATTTTCCAACTTTATCCATTAGAATAGTCTCAACAAACAAGATCTAGTCTTTAAGTCTCAAAGGGGCCAAATGTGCATCTTTTTCAACTTAATCCATTAAGTCAAAGTCAGTAACCTGCACATCTGTATCAATATGATGTTTAGATGATCATAACAAGGTCACAAACTTTCAAGATCTAAACTTTATGCACTTAAAGTGACCAAAAGCTCATAACACCCAAAACTGGCTAGATCTAATAATTTCATCATCAAGATTAAAACTTTATAACTTCACAAGAAAGATCAATGTGAATAAGGTTTGGATTTACAAGCTCCAATACAACTAACACTTCTCTAATGAGATCTTTCTTCTCCAAGATGCACTAAGAACACTCCAAAGCACTTAAAAACACATATTTTTTGCTCACAATGCTCAAACTAGGGTTAGGGTTTCAAGGGAGAATGTTGAAGGGGTGCAGACTAAGTATGAAAAGGTTTTGGGGGAGTTAAGGAGCTTAAATAAGGCTCAAAATCCTCAAATTTGGGTTTTGCATCTGATAGCGTACACCCAACTTACCAAATGGTACGCTCAGTTTACACACTTGAATGCGTGTTTTAATCAGCTAGTACGCCCAACGCACATTGAGTACGCCTAGTGTATTACAACCTGCAGCACTAGATTCAAACTCCTATAATTTCTTCGTTTCAACTCTGATTTTGGCGTTCTTTATATCCATGGAAAGGTATTGAAGAGCCTCCTATTATTATCTAGATATCTTGGACTAAAAACTTCTTGAAAAAAAGTCCATAATTAATACAAGAACCCGACCTATGACTTTTTCCTTTTTACCATTCGGCCCAAAACACAATTCAAGGATTAGATCTCTCAACTATTATTACCTCCTTCCACAAGGTCTAATCTTTACCTCCTTAAGGCCAAATGTCTTTACACAATCGACTTCCAGCCCACAACCCTGAAATAAGAATGACAGGAAATAGGATGTTACAACAAATTTGTGGGATATTATCTTTTTCAGTCGACAAAACAAATCGTAGCTTTGATACCACTTGCCTAAAAGAAATAATAATAATCACACTCGCACAAACACAAACAAATACACAATATTTACATTGTTTTGTTAATGTGACCTACCTACACATGCAAGATGGAGTATTCTTTATCACAAGCTTGAAATTGATAGTATTGTAGAGTTGAAATCTTGGTTATCAACCTTTATATATACATAAAATATACATGTAAACCCTATCTAGAACTAGGGCTTGCCGGCTTGCATTCAACCAATTGACCAGTTGCCAACTATATGTATGTTAGTCGGCTACTGGTCGACATAGTCTCCAATTCTCTAGGCTTATTTGACACAATCCTATAAAAATAAGAAAATAATTAATATAATGTTAGTTTCAAATACTAGTTTCGTTACTCTCTCTCTCTCTCTCTCTCTCTCTCTCTCTCTCTCTCTCTCTCTCTCTCTCTCTCCCCCCCCCCTTTTACCATTGACGTACCCCCTCCCCCCTTTTTCGATTACATATATTAATCTAGTTATTATTTCAAACTTTCCAAAAATATTTATGCAAAAAAAAAAAAAAAAAAAATCTTGTTTCAAACACCTTCGACATTTTGATGAGATGGCCGGGTTCTCCTATATCAGTTTTTCTTGTGGTAGTGGTTGCCAAAAAAAGGAAAAAAAAAAAAAAAAAAAACATAAATGGACAAAAAAAATGCACACAATTTTCTGAACAAGAAATGGTAATAGTACACACGTAAAAACATTACCTTATAAATCAATCATAGACTTGCATCGAAAAGTTCATGTTTGGCCATTTGAATGACCCCCCCCCCCCCCTCCCCCACCCCCCGATTTCCTTTTTTTTCCCAAACAATAAGAGTTGGGGATGATCTATATATCAATTATCAAACCAACAAAAGAAGTAAAACATTCCCGTCTTTTTCCGTTGGTACAAACATATATAGAAACTAAAAACCAAATGTGAAGACTGATTTAATAATAATAATAATAATAATTTCAGCCCTTCAAAATAAAAAGATATAATGATAAGTTATGATTTATCATTTATGTAAACAAATAAAATTACATTTACCAAATAAATTTTGCTATATTTAATTTTCCCTTTTTTTTTGGATTACATAAAATCTTTTTATTTAAGGTAATGTAAATTGATATGTTTGTCGGGGTCTTCGAAGTAACATGACATGCTTTCCCAGGCTTAGGGCTTCACAGCTTCTGGCTCGTTTACAGGGTACCTGTGGATGCAATCAGCCCAGGCACCATTTTTTGCTGCTTCGATTTCTCTGTTACATACCCAAACTGCACTATTGCATTTAAACCCACTCCCAAACCCTATTTGCCAAACCCTGTCTCCTTTCTTCATTCTCCCTTTGGCTTCCATGTAACCTATCTCGTACCATAATGACGAAGACGATGTGTTTCCGAAACGGTGCAACGTCATCCTTGATGCTTCAACATGCTCCGACGTCAGCCGAAGGCTCTTCTGAAGCTCGTCGATAACCGCACGTCCACCGGCGTGAATGCAGAAATGACGGAATGCCTTCTTGAAGTCAGGAATGTAGGGCTTCAGATCAAGCTTAAGGAACTTTCTCCCAATGAGATTGAAAACAAACAAGAGTTGCTCCGATGCGGGAAGAACCAATGGCCCGATGCTGCTTATGTTTGACTTCAATGAATTCCCAGCGATCACCATGAGATCTAGGTTTAACGCTATCCCGACATGACCCTCTTTATCTTCTTCTTGTGTGACACAACGATATGATTTATCTTCAGACCCTTTGTGGGTTCGAACCACATGCAAGAGTGTGTACTTAGCATGTTTACGTTGTGACCTTTTATTGGTCAAGAGAATGGCTGCGCCTCCAATTCTGAAAAGACAGTTTGGAACGAGCATGGATCTTTCTTTACCCGTGTAAGAATTCGGGGTGATAGTCTCAGTACTTATCACAACCGCATACGATTCATGATGTACTTGGAGTAGGTTTTTTGCTAAATCTATGGATATTAACCCAGCGCTACACCCCATTCCCGACAAGTTATAACTCTTGACGTTACTTCTCATCTTATACTTGTTAACCACCATGGCTGAAATCGAAGGAGTTGGTGCGAAGAGGCTGCAGTTTACGATCAAAATATCGATATCTTTCGGACTAATCCCTGTTTGTTGAAGTAAAGAATCCATGGCTGAGAAAATGACCATTTCAGCCTCATCTCTAGCATCCATCATATTAGGTTTTGGTGGTAGATAGTGTAATGAATGTGGTAAACATGTTTCCTCACCCAAACCCGATCTATCGAATATCTTAACTTGGAAAGAAACGCTTTTGGGCTCCGAGGCCAAGATGATATGGGCATGTTCAACCGCAGTGGCGTATGGCACACGGAGCATGGATGGTGGCTTGAAACAAGCGAAGTCGACGAGGTAGATGGTTTGAGGTTTGTTCAAGAAGTAGAATGCGAGAATGGAGATTGCTAGCAAACAGAAAGTGAGTGTGTGGATGAAATAACTATCATCAAGAAGGTGGTATGGGGCTTGTTTGAATGCTTGAATAAAGAAAGCAAAGATTATGGTTACGAGGAGAAGCTTGGGGACATGGTTGATGAGATACTCATAGGATCGTTTTGTAGACCGGAGCATTTTGAAGAAGATGAGGATCTAAAGAGAAATGTGATGAGGAGTGAGGACAGAAGTGTAGTGAAGTGAAAGGACCAAAACATCAGTATATTTAGGGAAGGGGAAGGTGAGGATTTAAAGAGTAGACGAAAATTAAAATGTTTGTGGAGGGCAGATGAGAAGAATAAATGACCTTATCGATTGTTATATTATTGCTTCATTACGTATATTAATTATTAAATATAGTACATATAATTCGCAACTTCGATGAGGATAAGAAAAAGTATTGGTCAAAGTTCGTAGCATGGTCGGATGGAGTTGGATCGGAGTTCAAGCAAAATTTTTGTTTATTTTTTATGAGTAAATGAGTAAATTAGAAAAATTGTCTATATGCATGGTTTGGTGAATTTGGAGGTTTATTCAAACTTTGAAAATATGATAGTTGCATTGTGGCTTCAAATAATTGTAGGAACTATTAGTTAACACTCTCTATAACCTACAGTCAAAACGGAAGTTTTGATTTGGAAAATATATATAAAATTGAAAAAGAAAAGGACAAAATCAAATTTTATAGTTTTAGGACACTTTTTTAATACATAATGACAAATTTACCTTAATTTTGTCATTTTTCCTATTTTGTTAATTGTTATGCACTGCAAACTAAAAGTTTCAATCACCACCACCAAAAGCTAGCTAGTAGCTACCATACAGTACCACCATAATATTCATGTATCTATCTTAATTACAATAAAAACCAAATTAAAATAATTAACATACAAATCAAAACAAACATTAAGTTCTAAAAATTAAAACCCAAGCAACCTTCACGATTTGGAGATGAATATCAAAACAACAATACAAAACCAAGCAGCCATGAAAATAAAAAAATAAATAAATAAGCCAAGCGCAGCCATAAAAATTAAAAAATTAAAAAATTAAAAAAAAATCCCAACCAACCAAGGCCATGTGGAAATAAATAAAAAGAAAAAACAAATCTTGTCGTTTCTTATTTTATATAGTTAAGGTTAAAATTTTTGAAAATTTATAGATTTAATCATTTTTAACAAGTTTTGTTATGGTTTTGGTCCATCGTCTGTTAATTTTAATAATTTGTCTCTTAAGATTTTTAAAATGACTATTGTACCATAATGCACTATTTCTACAATCAAGCTATCTTATTTTTATTTTTATTGAATTATTATATATTAATAAATGTTATTCTTAATATATATTATTTATATATTAATAAAAATTGTTTTATTAAAATTTTAATTTCTTTTAATTATTTTTTTAATTTCTTTGTTATCCCGTATTTTAATTGGATTATTATACATAAATAAATATTATTTAAATATATAATAATTATATATTAATAAATATTATTATATTGGATTATTAGTTAATTTTATTTATTGGAGTACTTAGTTTTTATTGTATTATTACATATTAATAAATATTATTTTAATTTATAGTATTTATATCCTAATAAATATAATATTATCAAATTATTAATTTCTTTTAGCTATTTTTTTAATTCCTTTTTTTGGATTAATTCTCTTTTATTGGAATATTACTTTTAATTTATTATTTTTTTATATAATAAAGATTATTTTGTTGGATTATTAGTTTATTATTTTTTTAATGTATGTTATTAATTCTTTTTAATTTTATTAGTTTCACCACAAAATCATCAGAATATGCAAAAAGGGTTGCCTCTTATCATCGAAAGTCGTCGGGATCACCACCAAACATCTTCATCGGAGGTCGGACATAAGCTCATCAACCTTTTCCATCCAATGATGATGGTAGTCATCTGCTATAACACCATTGTCATCACCCGATTATCATCACCACTTTTAATGTTTATAGGAGTTTTTGCTAATTTTACCGTCATTGTATAAAACTAATATTTTTAATTCATATCTGTTTTTAACTCTCGCTTATGCAACATACAACTATCCATGAGTGAACATTTTGGTTGTCTAAAAAACAACGCTCACCTTCAATAATGAATGTCGTTGACTCTTGTTTATTGTCGTCGCAAAACATATAACTAGTAAATATTATCTTCTTTGAAATGTAAAAGGAATCCTTTCATCTGAAAGTGTCAAAGACATTCCTGGAATAAACATATGGTTTCCTATATTACTTCCGAAAACCATCTTTGCTTCTATAACACGCTTACCAAATGTTATAACCAGTAGCCTCGTTATTCTTTGTTTGTGCTTATTTTTTACGTTTCAACATAACTTTTATCAACATAGTCGTCAATATGCCGACATGAAAAAAATAAGCACGAACGAAAAAAGTAAACACGTACATAAAAATACGCTTGAAAATATAAAAAAAATTACATCAAAACATAGACAAACTCAAATTTACATCGACACATACATAAAAAAAAAAAGCAAGTAATTTTTTTTGTAAAATTATTGAACAAAAGTTCTAAATTTACATCGAAATGTTGACCTGACTCATATGTAGATAATGTATATTAAATTAAGCACATAAACATAGACAAACTTACATTAGAACATAAACAAACTCAAATATAATACATTTTTAGGGAAAATTTCATCTATATCTTTATAAACTTGCATAATTACATCTATATATTTGTAAAACTTCAAATTACATCTATATCTTTATAAACTAACATATATACCCAAATACTTAATTAAATGATAATTAACATATTCAAAAATAAAAAGAAAAAAAAACATTATTTTTAAGTTATACTATAACTAAACTACTAAAATACTCATTTCCAATCCATCCAAGAACAGATGTCCTTATTCATGATATGGTTATTCACGACTTGATTTTTTCCCGCTTCATATTTTGCATAATTGATTAGTCAAACCCGATGATTTTATATTCTTAATCGATTGCTAACCAATATTTTCCATCTTCTACAATTGATTTACGAGACATAATTATTCTCTTCTAAACAGTTTTGTCCTTTCTACCTAAAAAGACCAAAACTAACTGTGTGAGTAAAAATGATTGAATTTGTGACATTTGGTAAATCACAAGAACCATTTATGTAATTTTGTTTTAATTAATCTATTCTAATAAAATTAATTAATATGAATTCACAAATGGAATGTTAGTGTCTATGTTAATATACATTAATTAATACTAGAAATGTGTCTACGTAAAGCGGTGACAATAAAGAGCTCTATTGACGAATATTTTCTTACAAGGAAATAATTCATAGATTTCATTAGTAGTTAATATGTAATAAAAAACTTACCACTTTTAAATAAAGTATTATAAATTATTTATGTTTTGACCTTATATTTATATTGTTTATTTAAATATTTGATGTAAATTATATAACAATGGTGTCTAGTTTAAAAATTATAATTTAATTTATATACATGAATTTAATATTTTAAAATTTTTATTTTGCTTATAATTAAATTTCTTAATAACCTTCTTTAATTCAAGTGTTCAAACTCTTGGCAAGTATTAATAATATACATATGCATAATTGATTTGTACAAAAAATTATGTATCTTCATCCTTTTAAAATTCAAGATATGACTAATATGTTTTATACTATATAATAATAAAAATATGAATTCACAAATAGAAGGTTATTAATTACATTAATACATATTAATTAATATATTAATAAAATCAATTAATAGGAAGTGACATTTAATAGATGTAATTTGAATAAAAAAAAAACAAAACAAAATGAGAAGTGAAAAAAAATTTTCTTAAATTTTTAAAAATAACACGTATCAAATTCAATGGTAAGTTAATATTTGGTAAAAACAATCCTTGTTTATTATGGTGGATTAAAAGAGAATATTAATCATCGAACACCGCCATTTAGGGTGGTAATTAATAACAAGATACAAAACAAAATTTGGACGAAAATAAAATTCAAATTTCTGTTCGTGTCTATTATAGAAAACACCATATCGTGTTGTGTTGTGTTTGTATTCAATATTCAATCCAAAATTGATACATTTTAACATTTGTATGTTGTGTTTTCTGTGTGTTTATCATGTTATGTATTATTAAATCTTAATTAAATAAACTAATTGTTATTTTATGTTATTTTTTTCATGTTGTGTTGTGTTTGTTATTTTTTTTAATTAGTTTGTGTTCCTCTTAGTTAAAAAAAACATAATATCGTGTCGTGTTCGTATTATATAAAATTTTATCGTGTTGTGTCAGACAAAAACACGACACAAATACTCGATTTGCCACCTCTACTCTCCTCTAAAAACTTAGAAGATATGAACATAAGGCGAATTCGATAAAATACAAGCTCTACTACCTATAAGTAATTACTAGTTTTTTTTTTTTTTTTTTTGAACAGCAAATACAATATAAACCTAAATTACCCTTGAATCCACTTATGTCTCCAACGAGATCTGAACTCTCAACTTTAAGGAGAGAAGCAACACCTCATATATTTTTCCTGGATCAAGATAGAAATCATCTGATAAGTAATTACCAGCTAAACGAGTATAAATTGGGGTCCAAAATTTCTGGGGTCCTATGCACACGCACACCCCACACAAACTCATGGCCGATTCTAATTATTGCCCCACTATGGATTTAATTTCTAGACCCGCTAAATGTATAAATCTGGTGTTTAGGACCAACCAAATTGGTCGGACGGTTCACGGTTCAAACCAGTAGTTCGACCGATTCAATGTACTTTTCTTTTTCTTCTTCCAATTAATTGGATGAATAACGATTCAATGTATGAGATATTTTCGTGATAATTATTTGAATCGATGATAGCAATCCACTTATTTATTTTTCTTCAAAGACTTTGCACATACAACGGAGCCCATCCGTTTTTAATGCACTGACTTCTCATTAATATTTGCAAAACTGAGGAATGTAGTTGACGGAAAAGTAAATACTAAACATTAGATGTAAAAAAAAAAAAAAAAAAAAAAAAAAAAAAGTTTGGCATAGGGATATATATATATATATATATATATATATATATATATAATATATATATATATATATATATATATATATATATATATATATATATATATATATAGAGAGGTTCAGGTTCATTTGAGACCATTCTAATTTTGTGAAACCGTGAGACCAAATCTAAAAATAATTTTAAAATGCAAAATAAATGAAAAAATCCAAAAATTCTTTTTTTTAAAATATTATTTTCTGAACTTGAATTAAATAAAAAAAATATAAATAAAAAAAATCCTGTTTTTTTTTTTTTGAAAAATACGTGAAATATTCTAAATAGAATATTACACTGACATATTCTAAAAAATAATTTTAAAATGCAAAATAAATGGAAAAATCTAAAAATTCTTTTTTTAAATATTATTTTCGGAACTTGAATTAACTAAAAAAATAAAAAAAAATCTATTATTTTTGAAAAATACTTGAAATATTCTAAATAGAATATTACACTGTACATATTCTAAAAATAATTTTAAAATGCAAAATAAATGGAAAAATCAAAAAATTCTTTTTTTAAATATTATTTTCGAAACTTGAATTAACTAAAAAAAAATTAAAAAGAAATAAAAAAAAATAAAAAAATACGTCTCACGGTCTCACAAAATTAGGCCGTCTCACATGAACCTAACCCTATATATATATATATATATATATATATATATATATATATATATATATATATATATATATATATATATATATATATATATATATATATATGGGGAGGGTTCAATTAAGAAAAAAAAGGTTGAGAATGGGGAATCATTCTCAGCCAATCATTTATTTTTGTCGCAAAAGGCTCCAACGTACCGGTGGAAATGGGAAACGAATGCACATGTGTTTTCCAACATAACATATTTTCTTAAACTATGCTAATCATTATCTTAATATATACAAAAACATAGTTTTTTTTGTTTTTTTATAATTTTTATAAGCTATTTTTATCAAAAAATGATTTTAAATATACCAAAATTCATGATTTTTTATTCTCTACAAATAGACATCCATATTGATATAGTTTTAAGATAAAATAATTTTTTTTATATGTTTTCAGTTATCGTTATTTATAAATGAATAACAATGCATCAAGTTTTATTACAGTACATTTGTTATTCACTTATAATAAAAAGCATGATTTTTTTTTTTTTTTTACAATTTAAGCATCATTCATATATGAATATAGCATATAATAAACATAGTATATTAATATTTTAATATTGGACGATGAATTCACTTTTGAATATTACACTACTAGAAAAAAGACCTTTAATGACGCACTTTTTACGACACGCGATAATTAACGATACGCAAAAGGATGTGCCTTTAAAATAGTGTCATCTCTCCAAAAAATTTAAGGATTTACGTCACGCTTTATTGCGTGCCCTTAATTTAGTGTCTCAAGAAAAAAAATTAAAAACACTGAGGGCGCTTTATCTTAAGCGCGCGTCGTCTGTACCTGTCGCTTTATAATTTTATTGAAACGCGCTTTTAGTATACAAGGGGGGAAATGAAATCCCCAAAATTTTGAAAACCCGCCTTTTTTTTTCTATCTTCTATCTATCTTTCATCTTCAACCTAACAAGGACGAACATTGCAGTCTTGATTTCCCTAACTCTTTCTCATTTTCTGATTCAAACTTGAAAGAATCGAAAAAAAATCTATCAATTTTGAAGCCTAAAGAATCACAACCCCCTATCAATTTTGAAAAAAAATCTATCAATTTTGAACACAGACCTACCCACAATGTTTTTCACCGGAAGTCTCTTTCGTCTCCACACCCTTGAGATCTCTCCATCGCTTCCCGGAGGAAATCTCAGGTTGTTTTCAGCTTTGGGGTTTTTTCGATTTCATCATTTTCCCCAATTTTCAGCTCCCGATTCTTCCCTTCTTGTTCTAATCTTACCCTTCGATTCCACCCCACCCTCCTAATCTCACTGATTTCTTCATTTTCAATGGGATCTCTTTCTTTGTGAGTTTTCTTTTCACGTCACAACAGTTGATCACCGAAGAAGCAATTTTCCAAATCTTTTTGTTGTTAATCAAAATTGCGTGTATGGCGATCAGATTCACTATTTCTTACTCCGGCTACGTGGCCCAAAACCTAGCCACCGCCTCCAGAAAATCCAATACATGCCGAATTTTTCACGAGGTTTTTTGTCGTCCTCGTATATTCCAGAATCCCGACCGAGATCCCTTCGCTGGGTACGGTCCGGCACCAACGGTGGGTTCAAGGTGTTCGGTTTCGGCGTATGCCACTCTCGCATGTGATTTTCTTGGCGTTGAGACCTCCTCCAAACCTTCTCCCCTCGTTGTTGGATTGATCTCGTTGGTAAAGTCAACGGCTACCGGTGGTGGCGTTGGTGGTGGTTCTGGGGTTTTTGGGATTTCGCCGTTGACGGCGTCTTCCATGATTCCATTTTTCCAAGGGTCGAAGTGTTTGCTCCGATGATGCTAAAACTTCCATTTTTCCAAGGGTCGAAGTACGGAGGTTGATAAAGGCGGTACTAGCTCGACGAAGTCCAATCAGACTACTACTGATTGCGTGAAAACCTGCAATGTTGCACGTACCAAAATCATCGTTGAGAGGAACAATTGGTTTTCAAAACTATTAAGTGTTTGCTCCGATGATGCTAAGGCTGCCTTCACCGCTTTGAGTGTCAGTATCTTATTTCGATCGCAATTGGCTAAACCAAAATCCATCCCCTCTGCATCCATGAGCCCTACCCTTGATGTGGGTGATCGCATAATGGCCGAAAAGGTATAATCCAAATTCTAACCTTATTACACACTATATGAATGATGGTTGCCAATTTCGCCATTTTGGCTTTTCAATTCACATAGTGATTGTATGCAAGATTTTGAGTTTTTGCCTGTTATTGATTTAGGTTTCATACATCTTTCGGAAGCCAGAAGTTTCAGATATTGTGATCTTCAAGGCTCCTCCCATTCTTCAGGTGCGATTTCACTTCTTGATTATAAGTATCTTTGATTAGTTCTGTGTTTTGTTGTTTGCTCATTGTCTTGTATCAATAATCTTGTAGGAATTTGGCTACAGTTCTGGTCCTGTATCAAGATTACAATCCTTATGATTTTTGTGATGTGATGGTGCAGGGGTCCACTTCCGGTGAAAAACATTGTGGGTAGGTTATATGCAGTGATTAGGTTAATTTACTCATAGTTTTGATTATTTTTTTTATCATCATGTCCAGGTCCCTTCTCTACTGTGTTCCGTGAAATGATACTCTCCTACATTATGCAGCCATGTTGTATAATCTTAGCCATTACACCTGCAAATTTAGATTTGGCAAACTCAGATGCACTTCAAATGGATGGGATTGTTGATCCTGATGGTAATTATCAAATATACTATGCTTTGTTAATGGTAATTATCAGGAGTTCCATTTGTAATTCACATAGCATTTCAATTTTGAGTAGCTAAATGCTTATGATAATTATATATATATATATATATATATATATATATATATATATATATATATATATATATATCAGATTGGATCTTCACTTGGATTTGAAGATGGAGAGTTTGAATCTTCCAAAATAATTCGCCCTGCTGCTTTGTTTTATCACAATGAGGATGATTCCTTCTATTTTGTTGACTCAGAGGTATTCTTTTTTAAATGAATAATTACAAATATATTGATGGGGATATAGTCTTATTATGATTTTTACTTTTCATATGATGAAAGAATCATGTTATAAGGAGAGCTGATATGGAGAGCAGGACAGTTGAGATATTATATCAAAAACCTAATGTCAGTGAGTCAAAAAGTAGTTTAGTGACTTGGATCATTGATAAACTTTAGAGTGCAAAAGACATTCCTTCAAATTCTGAGGAAGTTGATCCTAAATTACATTTTTACCCCTGGCATCTTCTCAAGTCATTGGAAAATTACCACATTTTACATGTCATATTTTAATTAACATGATATACTGTTAATTTGCTATATAATGTTTTCATGCAGTTTTGAAACTTTATGGATCATGGATCTGTCAGCAGCTGCCACAAAATAATTTCTCGGTGGAGGGTATTTCACGTGCGGGTCTGCTTTATTCTTTGGTAACTTTTCAGGATAATATCGTAATTTGTGACACAGGTAAAATTAAATATTTTCCTTTTGTTTTAATTGATGAACTACAATATCCTCTAAGAAACAAGAGTGTTTCGATGGTCAGGTGGTGCGGAAATACAACAAAACTTGTGAGCCAATGACAAGCTTTGAGTTTTCAAATTTTGGAATGCTAGGATTGCCATACTGGTTGTTGCCCCTTTTGAAATCAGCTTATGATATGAGCTCTGTTTTTCATATGGTCTAGGACCACTAATTGCTTAGGATGGTAACTGGGTTGTCTTTTCGCGCCCTCCTTTGATACACCATAAAGGCATGAAGATTCTCTCTCTCTCTCTCTCTCTCTCTCTCTCTCCAAATTCTAAAACAAACAACAACAGGTAAATAGATGCCAACATTTTGTTTAAAATTCTGTGAACATTGAAAAAAAAACGAGGTCGATAGTGCCTTTTTCATGAGATTGTCAAAAGTTGAATAAAATAAAAAAAAATAAACAAGGGTAATATTGTAATAGGAAGGATCTTAATACATAAAGTGACCAACCTCTCACTTAGCACGACAAGTCATTTTGATTTTATTAAGTAAAAAAAAAACAACCTTATCAATCTACATGCATTTAGTCTTGTACTGTTGTCCCACAATTTGTCATCATAGAAGAAGACCCTGCTGTCCCACAAGGGTAATATTGTAATAGGGCTGCTTTATATGTCATCATAGAAGACCCTGCTATCCCATAATTTGTAACAATTTGTATTATCATTATTTGATTTTAATAATAATTTGTTTTGTTTTATTGTTGAGGTTATAGACTGATAGTCTTACTTTTCATGTCATTATTATTTATTTCTTTTTTTGTTTGCAGTTTCTTGCAGAAACTTTGGATGTTGTTCAAGACATTGATTGGGTCATTTCTCTTGGAAATGCTTTTGCAAAGCAGTATGAGCTTTATACATATGATGATGAGCATTCTGCACTACTTCATAGGTATGAACTCATTATCATTATCATTACATTTTGTTAATTAAATTATCTTATTGAGAGTATTCTTCTCCTACAAATGTCTTGGAATACTTCTTCAAAAAGTTGATAACATGACTTATGTTCGTGATAAAATCGTCTGGATGTACAAACAACCAAATAATCTAGATTTCAAGTATTCCAGCACCTTGAGAATTATTACATTGCTATGTTTCGCATTTAACCATGTTTTCTAATATTGTTTTGGTTGAACATGTTATTCCTCAAATTTTAACAGATTCTTGAATTGTGACTCACCCCTGCAGCTTTCTGAATGCAGGCTTATTTTGGTGCTGGATTAAGTGGAGTTCTGGCTTGGTGTGTGCGAGTGGGAAGGAACCAACCCAATGCCCCCGGAGTTCTGGCACCTTCCATCTTTACTTCCTATGTATCCAGGTTAATCTACTCGTATTTATTCATGTCTCAAAGTGTGTATTCCAATATCAGGTATCATGATTTGTGTATTTATAAAATTTTGAAATAGGGTCTTGTTCAATGCTTTAGCTGTGTTTGCTCTAAGGGAGATCAACTTATCAAAAGTAAGTTACTGTTTCACCCTTTTATTTAATATTTTTGTGATTGAATGAAAGTCTTAATGAAAGTAATTGACAACCCTTTCTCTGTAAATGATGTTGTGATTGTGGGAGAGGTGTTGTGTTTTTCTCTGTTGCTAGGTAACCTTCTCAACAACAACAATCTACTTAAGCAGGTGAGTAATCAAGATTAAGGGAGACTCATAATCATGTTTGACATTCCTTTCCAGTAAGAAACAGAGTTGTATGATTATTTGTTAGTTTTATATGAATGTATAACCCATGTTAGCAATGTATTATTTTTGTTTAACATTTGAATGATTCTTTGTATGACATTACAATTTGTGCAATTTATTTTATTTTTTGAGTATGAAATTTTATTTTATATTATGCAATGGATTGTATTTTTTGTATATGGTATTTTATTTCTATTATGAGAAATTAAATGAAAATTTAATTTAAAAATTAATAAATATATAAATTTATTTTTTTTAAACATTTAAATTTACGATATGCAAAAATGTGTGTCATCTTCATTTATGACATGGCCTTTCTTGACAGGGGCTTTCCTGATACGCATTGCGTGTCATTAACACGCGCGTCGTAAGGTTACGACACGCGAATGCGTGTCATCTTCCTTTATGACAGGGCCTTCCTTGATACGCATTGTGTGTCGTAAACGCGTGTCGTAATTGCGCGTCGTAAATGAGCGTCGTAAATGCGCGTCGTCTCTCTTTATGACAGGGCCTTCCTTGACACGCATTTGCGCGTCGTCTGAGCCTTTTACGACGCGCAATGAGCGTCGTAAAAGGCTGTTTTTCTAGTAGTGTTAACATAGTATATTCACTTGTGAATATTAGATGGTATATTCACTTATGAGTATTAAATGATATTTCATAAGTGAATATTACATAGTATTACATGGTATATCATATGTGAATATTACAGAGTATATTCACTTGTGAATATTAGATGATATATTCAGTTATGAATATTACACAGTATATTCAAATATGAATATTACAAGGTATATTCACTTATGAATATTGAAGGTATTTTGATAAATATATATAATTTTTATATGTTATTCACATATGAATAACATACAGACTTGCATATTTGTTTTGTGTTTTTAATAATCATATACTGATTCAGGTGAGAAAACATATTTATATGTGAATATAACGTGGTAATTTAGTTTATGCATTTCATCAAACAGTTGGAGTGCTAACAAGTTAACTATTTTTAAAATGTTAAAAACATCAAGTTATCAATTCCAAATCATCATATACTTCCGATTTCGACTTCAGATGCGACATCCTATCTCTGATCGATTTCTTAATTTGATTTTGATTTCCGAAAATCCGATTGGGAACCTGTGAGTACCGATTCTAAGTCCCTCAACGTCAACTGTGATTGCGAGTCCAGAACTCCGATTCCAATTTCATGAACAGCGAAGAAATTCCGGTTTAGTTGAAGAAATCTAGATGATTATTGAAGGTTGGAGAAAAAATTTTGATGATGAACGAACAGTTATCGAATTCTCTATAGTTACGTATTTGAGATTGAAGGTTATTACAATATTTACAAGTTTGTCACCGTGTCTTTTATGCTTAGATTAAATGAGTGGCTGAGAATGATTCCCCCATTCTCAACCTTTTTTATTTTCTCAATTGAACTCACCTCTCTCTCTCTCTCTCTCCCTCTCTCTCTCTCTCTCTCTCTCTATATATATATATATATATATATATATATATATATATATATATATTATTCGGTTTATCCAAATCAATACCTAAGCTTAAGTACATAACAGTCACATATTCATTTTTCAAACACACACACAAACACACACACACACACACACACACACACATATATATATATATATATATATATATATATATTATTCGGTTTATCCAAATCAATGAAATTTAACCAAACCGAATAAGATATACTTATTTGGTTAACCAAACTGAATTAAACGAAAACCAAATAACCCGATTTTGTTCAATTTTTTATTTATCACACCCCTACTATTAGTAGCATCTTTTTTTTTGAACGGAAAAGATAAAACATTCATTGAAAAAAGCCAGCAGGAAACTGGACAAACACAGTACATACATATAGTATATAAGAAGAGAGATGAAGTTAACATAGCCTAGACAAATCTAACGTTGATCTAGGAAGTTGTTAAAACACCCAAACACAGAATTCCCCAAACTGAGAGCAAGTATGTTTAAGGTAGCATCTACATTTAAATTTAGCAACACCAACAGGGAAGTTCGGCACTACTGGTAAAATATATGTGCTTCAGATCTTTAATAAGGAGTCTCCATGATGGAAGCCTTTGTCACCACTAATTTGGGGATGCAGACTACTCCTCTAGAAAGATGAATTACTACCAAAATTTGTTTTCCATGTCAATTCTCCAGGCGTGAATATTTAACTCTTATGCAGCTACAACCACGTCCAAAAATTGCAATTGTGAAACCCTGCGGAAAGAAACAAACAGGAATAGAGAAAACACATGCCAAAATTAACATTTCCCCCCAACCCAATTTTGTACCGACACCCACTAGAAAGAAACACGAAAGAATGCCAAGCATAGTTTTATTCCTAGAAAGATATCTACCCAAGATAATGAAAACGCACACCAAACACACACTTAAACTGCTACTTGGCATACACCAAGACACCAAATGAAATGGACCAAACCTACCCAAACTCCCCCCCCCCCCCTATGAACTTTACAACAGGCTGTATTCATGAATTGGATTGCATCAACATTCTATCCATCCAAGCTTCTATGAAAATTATGCAGCTACACCCACGTCCAAGAAGTGCAATTGTTTGGTGTCTTGTTGTATGCCAAGTTACAGTTAAGTGTGTGTTTGGTGTGCGTTTTCTTTATCTTCGGTAGACATCTTTCTAGGAAAAAACTGAGCTTGGCATTCTTTCGTGTTTCTTTCTAGTGTGTGGCGATACAAAATTGGGTTCGGGGGAAATGTTATTTTGGCGTGCGTTTTCTCTATTCCTGTTTGTTTCTTTTCGCAGGGTATCACAATTGCACTTCTTGGACGTGGGTGTAGCTGCATAATTTTCATAGAAGCTCGGATGGATAGAATGTTGATGCAATCCAATTCATGAATAAGACATGTTGTAAATTTAATAAGGGGGGGGGGGTTGGGTAGGTTTGGTCCATTTCATTTGGTGTCTTGGTGTATGCCAAGTAGCAGTTTAAGTGTGTGTTTGGTGTGCGTTTTCATTATCTTGGGTAGACATCTTTCTAGGAATAAAACTATGCTTGGCATTCTTTCGTGTTTCTTTATAGTGGGTGTCGGTACAAAATTGGGTTGGGGGGAAATGTTAATTTTGGCATGTGTTTTCCCTATTCCTATTTGTTTCTTTCCGCAGGGTTTCATAATTGCAATTTTTGGACGTGGTTGTAGCTGCATAAGAGTCAAATATTCACGCCTGGAGAATTGTCATGGAAAACAAATTTTGGTAGTAATTCATCTTTCTAGAGGAGTAGTTTGCATCCCCAAATTACTGGTGACAAAGGCTTCCATCATGGAGACTCCTTATTAAAGATCTGAAGCACATCTATTTTACCAGTAGTGTCGAACTTCCCTGTTGGTGTTGCTACATTCAAATGTAGATGCTACCTTAAACATACTTGCTCTCAGTTTGGGGAACTCTGTGTTTGGGTGTTTTAACAACTTCCTAGATCATAAGATCAACATTAGATTTTTCTAGGCTATGTTAACTTCATCTCTCTTCATATATACTATATGTATGTATTGTGTTTGTCCAGCTCCCTGCTGGCTTTTTTCAATGAATGTTTTATCTTTGCCGTTCAAAAAAAAGATGCTACTAATAGTAGGGATGTGATAAATAAAAAAACTGAACCAAATCAGGTCATCTGGTTTTCGTTTAATTCGGTTTGGTTAACCAAATAAGTATATCTTATTCGATTTGGTTAAATTTTCATTGATTTGGATAAACCGAATAATATATATATATATATATATATATATATATATATATATATATATATATATATGTGTGTGTGTGTGTGTGTGTGAAAAATGAATATGTGACTATTATGTACTTCAGCTTAGGTATATAACCTTTTAAACGACGTAGTTTTAAACAAAACAAATTAAATTTCATTTTCGCTTAGTTAGTTCTAATAGAATACTATTGAATTAAGTTCAGTTATGAAATAAAAAAGATTAATTATATATATTTTTATTACAAATAATTATTAAAGTTTATAGAGAAAATAAAAATCAATATTTTTAACGAATATAATTCAAGTGTTTTGTCTTTTAATTGAAAAACGATATCCAATGATTTTGTGAAAAAGCTTGATTGAGTTATGACGTATTCTTCTTGTATCTTTTATTTTATTAGTTTTCATTTAGAATTTAGTAGGGCTGATTAAATAATCACGACTTTTAATGTTTTAAGTTTTTAGACATGATGAATAAAAAAAATATAATTTTGATCAATTTATTAAGTTACATGATTAAGGAAGAATAGTAAAAGAAATATCATCAGTTGGATATATATATATATATATATATATATATATATATATATATATATATATATATATATATAGAGAGAGAGAGAGAGAGAGAGAGAAGAGACAGTAAGAGATTATTTTTTTCCAAATTTTCATTGAATTTGATAGATGTTTTTTTTTAAGAATTTAAGAATTATTTTTTTCCACTAGTGATTTTGGTATTTTTTTTAATTCAAATTACAACTATTAAATGTCATATCTTATATTAAATGATTTTATTAACATATTATATTAATTAATGTGTACTAATGTAATTAAAAATCTTCTATTTGTGAATTCCTACATTTGTAATTGTCATTTTGGTATTTTTTTTATTCAAATTAAAAATATTAAATGTCATCTCATATTAAATGATTTTATTAATATATTAATTAATGTGTATTAATATAATTAATAACATTCCTTAATTATTAGGTTTGTAAATTCCTATTAATTAACCTTTTTAGAATAGATTAATTAAGTCAAATGTACATAAATGGTCCATATGGTTTATCAAATATCACAAACTCAGTCCTTGTTAATGTTTTTAGTCGAACATAACCTTTGTGGTTTTCAAAACTTGCGTGAATGGTCCTTTTTACTCATACCATTACTTTTGGTCATTTTAGATAGGATAGATTGAATTTGTGACAAGGGATAATCATAAGGACCATCTATGCAATTTTTTTTAATATTTTATGTTTATGATTTTTGATGTTTACCACCCATTTACTTT